CCATATATGTGCATTAAACAAATGTTAAATATAACTCTCATATAATACAGCATTCTTATGGATGTGTATATTGTGAAGACCTGCGTATCAATGCTGTGTATTTGAGTCTGTGTGAATGCACTTGTGCATGTTTGGATGATTACATGTGCTTTTTTGTATATAGTGTCAGTGTGAATACATATGTGACAGGTGACAGAGTGTGTGAGGGAGAGGGTGACAGGTGGAAGAGTGTGGGAGGTTGTGACAGGTGGCAGAGTGAGGGGGTACCTGGTGGCAGAGTAAGGGAGGGAGGTGTTGAGTGGTGGCAGAGTGAGGGGGAGACACAGTGAGGGGGGGGTGACTGGTGACAGAGTGAGGGAGTGGGTGACTCCCTCTCTCTGTCACTAGTCACCCCTTCCCTCCCTCACTCTGTCACTAGTCACCCCATCCCTCCCTCTGTCACTAGTCACCCCCTCACTAGTCACCTCATCCCTCTCTTTGTCACTAGTCACTCCCTCCCTAACTCACTGTGAGGGAAGGAAGGGGTGACTGGTGACAGAGTGTGGGGATGGCAGGTGACACAGTGAGGGAAGGGGTGACTAGTGGCAGAGAGAAAAGGAAGGGGTGACTAGTGACAGAGTGAGGGGATGACTGGTGATGGAGTGAGAGAGGGGGTGACTAGTGACAGAGTGAGGGAGGGAGTGGGTGACTAGTGACAGAGTGAGGGAGGGGGTGACAGAGTGAGGGAGGTGGTGACTAGTGAAAGAGTGAGGGAGGTGGTGATTGTCACTAGTCACCCCATCCCTCCCTATGTCACTAGTCACCCCCCCTCACTGTGTCTCCCCCTCACTCTGCCACCACTCAACACCTCCCTCCCTTACTCTGCCACCAGGTACTAGTGACAGAGTGAGGGAGGTGGTGACAAGTGACAGAGGGAGGGATGGGGTGACTAGTGACAGTCACTCTGTAACTAGTCACCACCTCCCTCACTCTGTCACTAGTCACCACCTCCCTCTGTCACTACTCCCTCCCTCCATCTGTCACTAGTCACCCCCTCCATCATTCACTATGTCACTAGTCACCCCCTCTCTCACTCTGTCACTAGTCACCCCCTCACTCACTCTGTCACTAGTCACCCCCTCACTCTGTCACCCGTCATCCTCCCACTCTGTCACCAGTCATCCCCTCACTCTGTCACCAGTCACCCCTTCCCTCACTCTGTCACTAGTCACCCCCTCACTCTAGTGACAGAGTGAGGGAGAGTTTGACTAGTGACAGAGAGAGTGAGGGGGTGACTAGTGACAGAGTGAAGGAGGGGGTTACTAGTGACAGAGTGAGGGAGGGGTGATTAATGACAGAGTAAGGGAGGGAGTGAGTGACTAGTGACAGAGGGAGGGGTAACTAGTGACAGAGGGAGGGAGGTGACTAGTAAGGGAGGGGGTGAATAGTGACAGAATGAGGGAGGGGGTGACTTGTGACAGAGGGAGGGAGTAACACAGTGACAGAGTGAGGGAGGTGGTGACTGTCACTAGTCACCCCATCCCTCACTCTGTCACTAGTCACCCCTCCCTAACTCTGTCACTAGTCACCCCCTCACTCTGTCACTAGTCACCCCCTCACTCTGTCACTAGTCACCCACTCCCGCACTCTGTCACTAGTCACTCCCTCCCAAACTCTGTCACTAATCACCCCCTCCCTAACTCTGTCACTAGTCACCCCTCCCTCTGTCACTGTGTCAACCTATCCTTCCCTCTGTCACTAGTCACTCCCTCCCTAACTCTGTCACTAGTCACCCCCTCCATCACTCTGTCACTAGAGTGAGTGGGTGACTAGTGACAGAGGGAGGGAGGTGGTGACTAGTGAAAGAGTGAGGAAGGTGGTGACAAGTGACAGAGAGAGGGATGGGGTGACTAGTTACAGTCACTCTGTCACTAGTCACCACCTCCCTAACTCTGTCACTAGTCACCCCCTCCGACTGTCACTGTGTCACCCTATCCCTCACTCTGTCACTAGTCACCCCCTCCATCACTCTGTCACTAGAATGAGTCGGTGACTAGTGACAGAGTGAGGGAGGGGATAACCAGTGACAGAGTGGGTGACTAGTGACAGAGGGAGGGGGTGACTAGTGACAGAGTGAGGGAGGGGATGACCAGTGACAGAGTGAGTGACTAGTGACAGAGGGAGGGGTAACTAGTGACAGAGGGAGGGAGGTGACTAGTAAGGGAGGGGGTGAATAGTGACAGAATGAGGGAGGGGGTGACTTGTGACAGAGGGAGGGAGTAACACAGTGACAGAGTGAGGGAGGTGGTGACTGTCACTAGTCACCCCATCCCTCACTCTGTCACTAGTCACCCCCTCCCTAACTCTGTCACTAGTCACCCCCTCACTGTGTCACTAGTCATCCCCTCACTCTGTCACTAGTCACCCACTCCCGCACTCTGTCACTAGTCACTCCCTCCCAAACTCTGTCACTAATCACCCCCTCCCTAACTCTGTCACTAGTCACCCCTCCCTCTGTCACTGTGTCAACCTATCCTTCCCTCTGTCACTAGTCACTCCCTCCCTAACTCTGTCACTAGTCACCCCCTCCCTCTGTCACTAGTCACCCCCTCCATCACTCTGTCACTAGAGTGAGTGGGTGACTAGTGACAGAGGGAGGGAGGTGGTGACTAGTGAAAGAGTGAGGAAGGTGGTGACAAGTGACAGAGAGAGGGATGGGGTGACTAGTTACAGTCACTCTGTCACTAGTCACCACCTCCCTCACTCTGTCACTAGTCACCACCTCCCTCTGTCACCACTTCCTCCCTCCCTCTGTCACTAGTCACCCCCTCCATCCCTCACTCTGTCACTAGTCACCCCCTCTCTCACTCTGTCACTAGTCACCCCCTCCATCCCTCACTCTGTCACTAGCCACCAGCTCCATCCCTCACTCTGTCACTAGTCACCCCCTCTCTCACTCTGTCACTAGTCATCCCCTCACTCTGTCACCAATCATCCTCTCACTCTGTCACCAGTCATCCCCTCACTCTGTCACCAGTCACCCCCTCACTCTAGTGACAGAGTGAGGGAGAGTGTGAGTAGTGACAGAGAGAGGGAGGGGATGACCAGTGACAGAGTGAGTGACTAGTGACAGAGTGAGGGGGTGACTAGTGACAGAGCGAGGGGGTGACTAGTGACAGAGTGAGGGCGGGGGTGACTAGTGACAGAATAAGTGAGGGAAGGGGTGACTAGCGACAGAGTAAGGAGGGAAGGGGTGACTGGTGACAAAGTGAGGGAGGGAAGGGGTGACTAGTGACAGAGTGAGGGAGGGGTTTACTAGTGACAGAGGGGGTGACACAGTGACAGAGTTAGGAAGGGAGTGTCTAGTGACAGAGGGAGGGATGGGGTGACTAGTGACAGAGTGAGGGAGGGAGGGGGTGACT